GCATTCGCACAGATGCTTTGCAAAGATTCGATGGATGTCCCCGGTTCCCCATTGTCTTTATATTCATCTTGAGTCAGTTTTCCCAAGTTTCACAATGTAGTCATTTCCTCTGTGAAGCATATTATTGCACCACCAGAGAGATCCTTAACGTACCCAGTCCCGCGCCTTTAGTATGTCACCGAAAATTTTATGGTTGATTAAACTTCCCCGTCCGGTTTTTGGGTGAACCTATAAGGCTGGTGGTGACTCTCCACCCCACCACACGTAGTTGAAAACTGGTTTGCTATCAAAAGTTCTCATGATGTACATATCTTCAGTAAACATTCAGAGATACCATTCAAATTTGTTGACTCCGTAGGTCTGGGAAGCTTTGTTCTGGCCTTGAGTTCCTACGAAACGGTCACTCAAAAGAGCAGGCTTCATCATATCCGAGATCTGATTGTAGATTTTATATTTTTACTCCTCTGTGTGCAGCACTGGGGAGATGTGGATGTTGAAAACGATCCATGAATGTAGAATCGGACGACGATGCTCTTCAGCTTGCTGCTGTTTTACTGTCCGCTGATGCGCGTGATTCAGCTTTGTCTTCCTGTAGGGTTTCCAGCCTCGTTCTGATCGATTTGTAAGTAAGACGAGAGCCAGGATTTGTCACTTACCTAAAGTGGGTAATAAGTTTCGTCAAGCATTTAAAATGTACTCGGCAAAAACATTAATTTGCTTTCGAATTATGCTCAGAGAATTCCTAACCCTCCTGGCTCCAGATGGCGGTTTTCATTCCCTGTAGCATCCGGCTTGAAATAGGGCTTTATTTTAGGTATCCAATTCAACACTACGTCCTCAGGGTCTGGTTTACAATGCAGTAATTTGTAGCTTTATTGAATGATGTGAACTAAATTGCATAAAGTTTTTGTTCTTAATTTATCACCACTGCTCCATCCGTTGTCTATTGAGTGGTGCCAGACACGTGAGTGTCAGAAGCTTCCGATCGTGCAAACTATTGTGCATGAAGATTTGCAGATCCACCCAAACTTTGCTTTTCTTGGGAGAGGTGGTGTTGTTGTCTCCACGGAAACAAAGATGCTGGTCGCCCAATAGTGGCACCGTACCAGTATCAAACTGTCCTTGCATCTAACAATAAAAGTGCACCTCAACTTCGTAATATGAAATATACTACTCTTCCGTAGGCTGTCCCTACTGATAGTTCAGGCAAATATGAACTGTAGGCAACTCAGTTCAGATCAGTTTAGCAGCAGCATCACTACAGTCCGAAAATCCACGAGAAGTTGGCATCATTACTTCGACGAATGGTTTGCTAATGACATTTAGCCATGCCACTATCAACACAATCATCGATAGCTTAGGATCGGTGCTTTACATGATGCTTGGCTGCTGTAGCTAGCCATGTGGCTTAATGCAAAGGACCAAGTCTAGTTCAGTGTCTGACTGCAGTTTGAGTGACAGGTTCTCGTGAGTAGTATTCCAGCGTGAGGCTCATTAGTTTGGGACATCATTATTCAGGAATGTCCAGTGTACGCCACTAGAGTAGTAATAACACCCTCGCCTTGCACGTATGATTTCAAACTTCGGCATGACCTACAACATGCACTGCTGATAGGTTTTATTAGGAGAAAAACTTAAATTTAGTTGTGATTTATGTTGGTATGGATAAACCACATTAACTGTGTAGAACAAGAGGCAGATAGGGAATCAAAAGCTGATGTGAAGGCGAGTTGTATAATAAAATCAACAAATCCAAGTTGTTCTTTTTTCCAACAAACCACAATCAGTTGACTCTATTGTTATCATTCAATTTGGCTTGCTCGATATTTTTTCTTGCACCGTGAATTTGAGCACTTGACTTGATTCTGGTATTAATCCCAGAGGGTATTTTTATACATTGATAACAGATGTTGTCCCCGAAACTTTTGTACATTTGATTGTTACCGAAAAATACACGTTATTTGCTGGGAAAAATATCTCTTTTGAAACTACTTGGGATAGGCATACTTGTTGGAAGGAATTAAACTCTTCGCAAAGGGGTCTTTTTTAATCAAGTTAATGACACGTAATGCGACACAAACCAAATCCTGTGGACGGGTGCGCTGGTGATTCGTTTTTCTTAGCTAAAATGGTTCATTCCTCCCTCCAAAAAATAAGACACCCTAAACGGATATTATAAAGGACAGCTGACGACCCCTCGTTGGCTGGCAAGCTAACTGAACCGTGGGCCAAAGTATCCAACATTGTACCTACTTAATCCAACTGAACTACCCAGCAAGTATTACTCCATTCGTCTTCTAAGTTTCATATATAGCATTATATCCTGTAAGTAAACACTGACGGCGACTTAGAGCTATTGTCAAGCTTGTCTGAGGTCAGTAGCCCCTGAATTCGTATGGAATAGCTATGGAATGACCTATCCGTAGAATCATAGCTTTTTCTTAGTAATCAATAATGTAATGCCTACCACAACTTTATAGTTTATTTTCAAATAAACCAACACTGTACATCGCAACAAAAAATTATAACAACAATAACCTGTTCTTTCGCGAAATTAGGGCTGAAAACTTCGACAGCGATGATTTCCGTGTCCGCACATCGCAGGTGCTTTCCTAAGAGAATTCCTTCGGATCCGGGGATTTGTAAACTAAAAATATCCTTTCATAGAGCTTGAAGCAGAAGTTGTTGTTTGTTTCATAAGAGTAATAAGAGTGATAGCGTCCATGGACAATGATCACATGCCACAGTCGGCCAAGTTTTCTATCCAATTCTTGTTTGACGTATTTTACCATTTCCTGAAATTGATGCAACACAAAGCAGATAAATTGAGTTGTGTCCCACTTGAAACAAAAATTCAATATGTAGGCTAAACCAATTTCATGCATTCTACATCTGGTTTTGCCTGGCAAGCTAAAGTAGGAGTAACATCAGTTTGATTTTCTGTGCTGGTAACCAAAGCCTGAAGAGTTGAAGACATTAATCTCCTCAAACCAAATGAGTGACTGGCGGATGCAGAATGATATTCTTAGACCAATAACACCCTTTCATCAGCAAATGGCACAAAAAGAGAGAATCACTGGAATGGGTACTTATAGGATACAAGCTGGTTTGATACACAGTAAAACGTCATGATATTTTATCTGTTTCTCGTGAACGTAGGTAAACAAAACGGCCCCCCTGTTAGAAATCATCCTTCGACATCGGTGACGATATAAGTATGCTAGGAATGCGCACACAGAACTGTCACAACGACATGACATGTGAAAATACGTGGTTAGTTCATATATCCTGTTAAAAAGAAGCCTATCTCGGCACCTGAGAGTATTTCGGTTTCAGGTTAGAACGAGTGCCTTGCGAACGGAATAACATTTTATTGTAACTAGGATCAATCATTTATGTTTGTTCCATCAGTAAAATAGATCAGCTATGTTCAACCAAAAGGCCAAAGTTCACTTCGATATCAAAGATTATACATGAAACAGCGTGGAATTTTCACAGAAACGCGTTTTCAGGCTAATATTGTCTATCTGGTGAGTTAAGAGAGCTTTCAATACTCTTGGTACACTTCATAAATCTACTTCCTTCGATGTTGTTTCCAATTTAACGTATTTTTTCAGCATTTGATTTGCAATCCTCGGTTAAACCCTGATTTTTGTGGCCATAATTTAATGGATCACCACATTATCAATTCAAGAGAATTTTTCGCGTTGTATCTTGCCTGAATTGATACCTTATTAGTTGTTCTGTTCATGAAGCCCGTTTCACTGTGATGCTGTGCTATACAAGAACAAGGTCGTTTAAGTGGTGCGATAACTTGTCCTTTGTAACTCATCGTCCACCAGTGTACTAATGCACGATCTCCTGTAACCCGATGACATCTAATAAGGACTAACCAAATCCTCATGTTAAGCTTAACCAGGTTGACAGTTGGTTCATCATTTTTTCTTCTAAACATCTCTTGGGAAAAAGAGCAGAATGCAGGCCCCTAGCAATGTTTGCTTACCTTTTCGTCCTCGTGATATTTCATGTAAGCATCATGAATGACTCGGACAATTTGAACTTGTAGCCGTCGGCTCATGTCAGTGACAATAGTCTCAACCGCTTTTAATTCCTCTGTATCAAACTGATCACGTCTGAAGGGGAGTACTCAGAATGCTTGATGATTGACGAAACCTACACATTGCTTTCCTGTAAGCCAAGTACTTCGCAAAACTTGGCCAGTGTTATCCTGCCAGTGTTTTCTGGATCAAACAGATCACGCCATCGCTGAAATGAAGGTCGAGATATGCGATACACCTATCACTCAAATAACACAACTTGATACGTTGCACGGAAAAGATGAGAGTTAGTACATGTACTGGACTGCTGTGATTAGCGTGGAACAAATTAACAGGAAATAATCAACACCAGGTAAGCTCACTACGAAACTACTGAAAACGATGCGTTTTGTGATGTGTAGATGAATCGATGTGCACTTATCTACATAACTACTACAGTGATAAATAAATCCAAAAAAAGTCGTAAGCGAGCTGCCTCGAAAAAGATATAAATATGAATGTAAGCATAATCATTCAGTTGTGATACCACTTTCACTTGCGTCACGGACACGAGCATTTTCCGCACCTTAGAATTTTGCCCATATTTATAGATATATTAACAGATAACTTTTTATAATATGGGAAGATTTCACGTAAAGCATTGGAACTAATAACTGAATTTTCGAATATCACTTTTTAGTTTTTAAACCACATCTGTTTTGAACGTTTCACAAGAATATATAAACGGTTACAGGCTGGTAGATCACGTTGGGGTCCCATCACGATTGCTGTACCACGGGAAGTGAAAAGTTGGTAGCTGTTCATGGGCTGTTGTTTGTTCACCTTGTGTGTCCTAAATTCCTACTTTGGTTGTCCATTTTCAGTTTGGAAGTAGGTGCAGAAGAACGAAAATCTTTCCTAGCAGCATATCGTTACAAAACCCCCAGTAATAAAGAGTGGATCATTAGATCCAGCTCCTGCCATGGACATGACTAAAAACAGTGACTAAAGTTTAGACTAATATAAAGTCAATTTCACCTACATTAGTTCATTTACAGCATATTTGTGTCCCTCCAAATAAACGACGAGTCGTGTTTCTTTTGTAGAAGTCTTGTCATATATTCGATTGTTTTCAGTGCGCGATAAAGCAAACAGGATTTTCTCATTAGTTATTTTATTATTCACACGCTGTACAAATTCTGGGGTGAGGTTTCTGGAATTCATTTGTTGCAGGCTGCACTGAGTAAGAGTCAGTGTATACACCGGAAATCTGGCTAGCTTTCCTTAGTGTTCTGGCCAGTAGAGCAGATGAATGTCGTGAAAAAATCAGTCAGTAGATCCCTAACAACCAATATTTCACATGATCGCGCTAGGACAAGTCGAAAGACAACCTAATTTCTGAGATATTTTCGCGGTTTGTTTACGACAAGAGATAGTCAATGGCGGCTATCGGGGAAGCATGTTTGTAAGTAATCTAGATATTGACCAGTTTGCACTGTAGACATAAATTTTATGTGCCCACCTGAGGTCTGAGGCAAGTAGCCTGAAAATCCTGTGAGAACAGCTTAGAATCAGCGGTTATTGAACAGAACCCGATGATATCATTAATATCAACATGTTTTATTACTCGCCTGGTTCGTCAAGATGTAAGCCGTTCGAGCAAAATTAAAAAATAGAATCTATAGAACAGTTGGGTGAGGCAAAACGCACTTGAATTTAGTCATGCTTCTCCCCTGCCACCCATCTTTACAGAATGATACCTTTGAGTGAATTAAGCCGGCTTTTCAATGCCTTCATGCTGTCAAAGAAGCAGGGCTGAGTGATAACGACGTGATTTTTTTCGTGAGGTCCTACATTATATAATAACAAAAAAGTAATGAAGAAACTGATGTGTGACAACTAAGGAAGCGGTAGAACGAGAGAAAAAGTCCGATAACATCGCAAAATAAAGCCGGGCGAGACAATGTCACGTATACTAGTCATATTAGTGGGAAGATTCCTCAGTTCCTTGTGTGCTGTTCCAACAGGTTTGGCGATAACATACATATTCACAGAATCTGATGAGCTGAATGCATGGCAATCTCCAAAATTGTTAGTTTAGGCCTCAAACGCAAGATCTAAATAGTTCATACTCCCAGAGGGTTTTTTGGCCGCCAGACCACTTTCAACTTTTTTTCCACTTTGACCGCAAAATGAAATCATGAAAAAATGGTGTTGGCCTAATTAAGAACAATATTTCCCTTTAAAACTTAATTATCCTTATAGTCGTAGGCATATTCCACAAACAAACGGAATTTCTCTGGAGCGGGGGAGGTGAAATATTATGTGTTAATAATAACTTGCGTCATAGAAGACGGCAAAAATTTAATCGACTCCCCAGCTGCTAAAATGGTATGTATGAGTAGGGAAGCAAAATCTTTTTCCTGGGGCATCGGTGAAAAATACTCTAAAGGATCAAAACTTGCATTCCCTCTTCAAGTAATCTGCCCCCTAGTTGGTGTCGTGTTCTTTGGTTTCTTATAATAAACTGAACGCGCATTCTGATTATGCATTGATGAGACACCAGCAGCGGTTAATTGCGTCAATACGCGTACACGGGTGGGTGTTTACAAATGCACAGTTGAATCACAGAGCTTGAAGTTTCACAAAACAGGTTCACTGAAGTTGCCACAGAGTTAGTGGAACCACAGTGTCTCTGAGCAATGTACTGGTGAGCAACATTGCACACGGAAAAGCCTATGCGAGGCTGCTTCCCTGGTTTGATCTCCTGGAAGGTTTACCTTGATGGGCCTCCTTAGTCGTCAAGTCTCGGTCGGGTTGCATCAGCAAAAATTCCTCCAAAATGAGGAGCAAAATCTTGCAGCTACTGCAGCGGGAGATGACGCAAAGGCAGCAATAAGTTCCAATGCGACTTGATCAACCAATATCAGTCCGAACTGGGGTTCGAAGACTGCTGACCATATTCTTAGTATTTTCCAGTGTGTAACTAAAGCCCATTGCAAGCCAAGGACACCTAATTCTCCATTTAACTTACCATCTTAAATGAACAATCGGAGTACTACAAACAGATAAGAGTTGTCCGACACAGACTATTAACATACCAATCATGACCCTACCAATCGCAGGCGGGCAGTGTCGAAGAGCCAATGCAAGAGTGAGGTTGGCATCTGAAAAGTTTGTCTGTATACCTATAAACAACGCAGGGATTATGGATAAAAGAAAGGAGTCTCCAGGAATGAACCGACTTTCGGAGGTACGATGACGTTCATTGACGAATATGTGGGGACGGACATTTAGAACGAATTTTTTAAAGTCCGAACGGCCATCCTAATCAATGTTCGGCTTTAAGGTATTTGCACAACCAGGCATAAGAATAGCAACAGATACCAAACTTTCCAACTGACAGCGTTTCAGGGTTTTGAAACCTGCCTGCCTATTGCCATTGTGATGATAGTCCATTTTGTCTACTTAGAAGGGTTCAATCTGACAGAAAATGGGGAAAAAAGAGACTCTGGCATATTCGGGGAAAAATACCATATTATCACAGTCGGCAGTCAGTTGACTGAGAAAATCACATGAGAAAATTTGGACGAAACTGGACATGTTATATTTAGGCAAACATTTTTCTCATCATCTAGTTATTAAAAGTTTACGGGAACTTTTTGATGAAAACTTTCAGAATATAGTACACCTCGGTGATGTATCCTATTTTAGAACGTGACATGAATTCTCGACATTTAAGGTTTTGGGAAGTGAAGTTGGTTGAAACATCAGCATACGCGCAGGAAAAACGCTTTGTGTTCTTAATAACTGGATTCTTTACCATGCAGAGCAGATCCCATTCGCCAAAAACTGCCACAACCTTAGTTAATAAGTCTTCAAACTCACCTATGGCACTCACGAAACAATGTCACATCATCTAGAGAGTCCCATAAGTTTGATGAGCAGGAAAGACCTAAGACGGCAATACTGGTTGTAGTCACTAGCAGATATACGCGTAGAAAGGACAGTTCCTAGTTCCGTGTATTTTCTATACCTGGATTAATAGTTGTGGCTAGATTACAGAGAGAAAATTTGGATTCAAGTCTTCAAAATGTGCCTAATGTTTGACTAGTAAAAATACCAGTAAAAGCCGCAAACTGAACCAGGAAAGGTGACAAAGATAGCCGATGACTGAAAGATTAGAATGAACATGGACGTCCTTCTTCAGAGCCGTTGCCCGGTGGGTAACTTTCCATATCCCATCTACATCATCCTCAATCTTTCTGAACAACCTATCCGCCAAGAAAATGTTCGATATCCCAATTACCCGTTAAGAGTCAATCGTATGCTCACTCATTGAAGCGATTTATGGAACTTACCAATCAGGAGCCTTCTCATTCAATGTTTCCAAGACTATTAGGAGTTCATATGAGGAAGAATTTAGACACTTCGTAAATGGATGTTTATCTGTCTTAAGTTCAAACTCCGTTTCTTTAGAGAAGTAGTTTTTCTATGACGATTAAACGGTCCGGCTAGCAAACTTTGCTCCAAAACCATAAAAAATGTTATCAGACTTACCTTGAGAAACTCCTCATCTAATTCGTTTTCTTTCATGTAGGCAGCAAGCTCATCCATAGACAACCATTCTATGCAAAAACGAAGGTAGTGATACTACGAATGAATATTAGGTGGTGTTTCATATCAGTTCAAATTATTTTCCATTGTAGCCTTTGATGATGAACAGCAGTATACTGTAACTATTTAAGAAAATCACAGCACATTTGCCTGTAAGCTTTCCCCTTAGTACCAATGGCGGTCTAGTGAAAACGCTGCAAAAGCAAAATCGCGAAATACACAAGAGGTGATTATTAGGAAGTCCTAATAAATCAACCACATTCCCCTTGAATTGAAATGACAAATAACCGCTGCTGCATAGGGAAAAATATTAATAAAGTTGATGAAGTGACTCAAAAATGCAACTAATTTCGCAACAGAATCATTTCAAGTGCTGAAATCATTGAACACGTAGGACACGCAACTCACCCTTTCTTTGCTTATCGATTTCAAAAAACGCTTGGACAAAGCCATCCATTTTTTCGTACTGTGAATTCACCGAGCGCACTCAGCGTCTGACTTTGGGACAATGCATATGAACTTAACCACTACATGTGATGGAACGCAAATAAAGTAACCAATCGGGAGTTTGTTGTACAGCACCTAATGCGTGTTTATCTACTCAGTCAGTTGAGTAACCAACAACCATAATAGCACGTGCCCTGTGATTGATCATGGGTGCGCGTATGCAGAGGTTTGTTTAGTCAGGCTAAAATTCTACCAAGCTTTTGTACAATTGTTGATCAAGGTGTTTGTTTTGCAGACAACTGGTAAATTTTGCAACTCATCCCTGAACTCACCCAGAACTAGAAACCTGATTACATGAAGACGTTCTTTCCGTGCACCATGTTCTTCTTTGTCTGCCCAGTAAACAGTAGATAGGATGCATTATCACCATAAAACCCCAATGAGCCCATGTTATGTTACCCACTGCATTGAATGACCAGACAGAATATTTAAAATTGTATGATGACTTCAAATCATTAGCACAAACTACTGATAGTGGTTGTAGTTAAAAATGCCTCTTTATATTTCCTAGTATAACAACAGTAGCACGAATCACCTAAGCGGAGGTCGGTGACCAGTAGTGGGTCATAAATCAGTGGTCAGATATACGTCGTCCTAATTCAACTCATCAATTCTGTGCCAAGGTGAGACTGACCACCGTTAAGGAAAACCCATCTTATAAATGGTGCATTGAGAATTATTGAAACTTCATACGTTGTCGAGATTCCGGTTGTGCTGTAAATCTTCAACAGCGTAGTCTAATCGGCGCTTTGCAGTTTGATTTATGATGCGTTATCTTACCTCAGGCTTCAGGGTGATTACTCATGTTTCCAAACAGGAGAGAATGTACGTGTCTTGAAATAGTTATACTGACAATTTTGCTGAACAACCTCTGGCACGAGATTTTGCTTGGGCATGAATCCGGCACTTTTGTTTCTACATTGTAAGTACCTATATTATAAGTTAGAGTAGTTCAAAGATTTTGCAGATCTGTAATTCGTTTTGAGCTCATGGATGAAATGTTTTTCAACACGGAACTGCATGTTTATTGAAAATGTTCTTAAATCAATGTAATACTACTTCCATCTCACAAAGAATCTTTGGGATTTCACATATCTCGGCCCTTAGGATAGATTCAAACTAGTGTCTGACGTAAAAATACGATATGGGAACGAGTGGTCTAGAAGTAGTGTAATATACACACATTCAGGCACTACTTAGCGACTCTAGCACTCAGCCAGAGATTATCCAATTATTCATTGTTAAGGGGTCATTGGAGTGCAAATTCTCAGATCCACGTGAGTGGATGGGCCGCACAAAGGTTCAGAAATTATGAAAATTAATTCAAGAGCCAAAAACTACGAAGGCTGTTCAGGGGCGGTTATATAGTGCTACCAGTTTCCCGGGCACTGCCTAAATAAGCAAGCGATAAAGTACAAATTACGGGTACTTATATTTTCATAAAGGAAACTACTCACAAGCTTGCTGAAAACTCTTTGACAGCCCACGACCGGTTTCGCCCTTCTTGGGGCTCATCAGGTAGGCGCAGTCCCCGAGTTTCCGTCAACCTTATG